AAATTCTATTCTCATCTCAAGAATGGAGAGAGTGCAAGTACGAGCCTACAGCAAGCAATGAAGGAGATGAGAGAAACAGAGAAATACAAAGAGCCAAAATACTGGGCTGCCTTCTTTCTTATTGGAGACGATGTAACCATTAAAGTGTAGTTTAGTATTCGAACCTTGTATTTAGGTCTTATTTACCGAGCGCGTGGTCTAGATAGCAAAATCTGGACCGCGCTCAAATTTTTGTCTGCGTAAAAGACACAACGTACAAATAAAAGTACAGGTAATACCATATTAAAAAATATCTTTAGTAAAAAAAACTCCAGCTTTTCCAAGAACATAGCTAAGTAACCTTTCAGTMAGTTCATCCAAGCAAATCAAATACTTCCAATTTGGTTAATTGGTCACGYGCAAAGGAACTGAGGACGAGCCTCAGGTGGAAACAAAAGAACGATCTATTTTTATCCCACAGCTACGTCTTCAGAACGTTTGTGTGAGCGCGGTTTGTCAAAAATGAACTCACTGAAGATTTAGATTTGTAGAGATTACTTTCACCAGTGTTGAGCAAAGTAGCTTAGTTATATTTTATAAATTTGTAGTTTTAGAAGCACACGATGGTATAAGTGCCCGATGYAGAGGAAAATCTTATACTCTATTTTCAAGTTAAAACATTTGAACATTTTGAGTATTATYTTTACGATTGTACGTTGACTGTTGATTTGGGAACTAAAGCTGAATTATCAAAAATATACTTTACCGTCAAATCACTCGCGATTTACGTGTTATTTGAGCTAAATTCACACATAAGACCGCTTTCTTTTTCGCCTCTTTCGAAAGATTACAGGTAGCAGTTTCATTCAGTCGAAAGTAAAGTAGTGTTGTGAAAGCAATTTCACAATAACGATATATCAAACTAAAGAGCTTTGACGCATTATTGTTAATTTGACAACTTCCTGAATTTACAGCAAGATCTTGAGCAAGTTCTGGCAAATAGTTTAGCGAGATTACYCCTTGACCAGGTATAGTGTATATTCTAGAAAGGCTTTAATGTACACGGCATTGTATTCGATTGATATGCGATCCAATGTTTGGTTATTCATTGTGAAACATCACGAATACCTAATGGAGTAAACGACCAATAAAATCTCATTGTCTATCCCTGGAGATATCACTAAAACTGCGTAGGAGCGATCTCGTTCGAAACCGTTCAAAYTTAGAGCWAACTCTGGAGCCAACCTCATGAACAGAAAGAACTAAGTGAGCAGCAACCCCAGTGGGGGGACTCCTTAATAAAAAAAGGACGGGGTCATCGTCGTCCCTTTTAGGGTTTGAARTCAGTGTTTTGGTCCCGCTTAGGGTGATAATGACGAGAATTTCCACCAACTGAGTTTTGTGGTCCCTTTTAGGGTGAACGACGACCCTAAGCCGTCACTATAAGATCAACAACAACCACAACGTCGTCATAAACTCAGTACGAGCCGACGGCGTTTGATGCTTGTGCAAAAACACAAATAAAATCGGGAAACCAAAACAAAATGACCCTCTTAGGGGTGAAATTCAGCACTCACACGCCAATCATCTCACAACACATACAGGTGCCTTTAGAGGCCATTTTCAGAATTTCCGACGAGGACCCCCGGCCTATTTAATTAGGGAGTCCCCCCCACTCTCCCCTCCCCCCTCCCCCAACCGGGGCAGCAACATTGGTCAAGTTTAATATTAATGCAAATATTCTTCCACCTTAAAAACGTACATTACTTGCTTTCTATGTGGTGTTCATTTATTCGTCTGCGAGAAATTATCAATTTATTGGAAGAATGTTTGATGATGGCCCTTTTTCTACAAGATAAGCTAACACAAAAGCAAATTTAAAAGGAGAAGTATGGTTGAAAAAAAAAACTATAGGAAGCCACCTTTTAAAAATGTTAAATTAAATATTAGATACAACTACAACAACAATTCAATGTGAAGTTTTATCGATAATGTGTTTACATGGTTTTTGGAGAGAAAAAAGATTTTTTTGGATAAAATCAATTTTTGAATATTTATACCATGTACGTTGTAATAATATCGTGACTTCGAGGGCATAAAATACTTTGATTCACCAACCAATCAGAGAGTAATACTCAAACAGCGTGACGTAACGTCTGCATACTCTGATTACCAAGAAACGATTCGTTTATACTCCTTTGTCTTCCGTCGTAAATACGAAAGAAAATGTTTTTCTGCGACTGATCCCTCTGTTACAATCGAAAATCGACTTACGTAAACGGTGATTTGCTCTATGAAAATAATGCACTGTGATCAATATATGTATATATTCGATAATGTATAGCAAGAACTTCATCTGAAGGCACAGTTGAATATAAAGACACAAATCGAAAGTGAATCCTGGTTAACTTTTATAGGTAAGATCGGATTTATTCACGTAGATTCAAAATAATACATGATAAATAAAGCAAAGATAGCTATATGTGACAATCACTGGCAAGGCCAAAGGCTTATTTTCACTAGTGAAGCAAGCGGAGAGGGAGACTTCTAACACTGTACACGCGAGTGAAAAGCTAGTGAAGCGAGAAGGTCGAAGAGCATGAAGCATGAAGCGTCGAAAAACCAAAAAAATACCCTCCGTTCTGCTTTCTTTACACATCCTCCTCCTTCTTAAACTTGCTTCACTAGACAAAATCGGCCTTGTGTTTGCTTTCCTAAAACATGTTTAATATCTGATATGTACGAAAATAGTTTTTCATATTGAAAATATACATTTCATATTCGTTTTTTTCTTTCTCTCAAGCGACCTATGTAAGAGCGCGCTCATATCCATTGATTGTGTATATAATAAATCTAGATATACGCAGCCGGTAGTGGGCCGAGTTATTCAAAGGTCGATTAGTGCTAATTATCTTTAAAAACTTATGGAAATAAGCTTGAATTAACACTACTTGGGATTTAAAAATTTGTTCTGACAAAAATCAACTAGACCCTGGCAGCAAGGTTGACTCGTGCCACTGAACGTGTTGTGTATGCTGGCTTAAGCTATAAAGCGAGCAGTTTTCCCTTGACAAGTTTCTTGATAAGAAAAAATTGTCCGTGTCATAGTTAATAGAGAGGACTAGTCCTCTCTATTAACTATGTCCGTGTAAATGGTCATCAAGATTTCCTTGACAATTCCTCCTTGATAATSTTTCTTTGCTCGTGTAAACGAAGAACAAGTTTTCCTTGCCAAGGAAAAATTGCCCGTGTGAATGGTCAACAAGTTTTCTTTGACAATTTTTCCTTGCCACATTTTCCTTATTGTCCATTTACACGAGCAAATTTCGTCCTTGGCAATTTTTCCTTGTCAAGGAAAAGCGAACATGTTGGCTTTTCCTTGACAAGGAAAATTGTCAATTTTACCACATTTACTCGAGCAATTTTTCCTTGTCAAGGAAAAACTTGTCAAGGAAAAATTGCTCGTGTAAATGGCGCTTAATCGACGACAAGACGGGTATGAGTATATATACAATTGTCTATAAATTAAATTTTATCTTCGGCAACAAATTTGGCATTATAATGTGGAGTCAAGTTTGTGTTGTCAGGGCAGCCATGTGCATCGCTGCAGACCGGAAATGAATTCAAGTCCACCAGTTGTAACTTGATTGGCTCACAACTCGACATTGAAAGAGAACAAACGCTCTGCACTCTTGAACTCGTGCAGCCAGAGGCCTGACACGAGTAATTACTGATTAATGAAAAAAAGCTTGTTGATAAATTATAATATAATTTTAAGATACCMTGTTAAACTGGAACCCTCGACCCTCCATTACCTCCTCGGTAATAAACTCTTACCTATTGCTACTAGTTGAAAGGCATATTGAAATGAGTAAGATCTGAGAATTTCAGTGCKCTAACATCCAAGAATCAGAAATTATAGGTACAGTCCCCAATGTTCTTTCAAAAAAAATTTGCACGACCGATTCGCGGTAGAATAAGTCCTGTTATCTAAGCTCAAACTGTTATTTTCACCTATATATGGCTTGTAAAACACCTTATAAAGATCTTGGTAAATAAAAAAGTTAAGAATCCTTAATATTTCCTGGGAATGGACTTTTGAAACTATATTAGTTTTGAGCTTTTTAGATTTCTTAAARTAATGCTGTTTTGTTTAGGTATAAACCAGAGCTTACCATGCCACTGACAATGAATATCAAGACTGTACTGTTCATAAGATTTTGTGTTGCGTATGCAAGTTCTCTATGYGATCAAMCTGGGAACCTAACAACGCCAAAGCAGGAGGAAATTATCTCCCTRTTGGAAGAATGTCTGGTGCTGGCCMTCTTCCTAGATGATTATCTTGCCCCGYCAGTAATTTATAGAACACTTGGAGATTTATATCGTGACGTCCRTCAAGTAGCTAAGGCAAGCGAATGTTATGAAAAACTTTCATCCTTTTTATTTGGTTCAGGAATACAAAACACTCGTAAAGATCATATTGAGGTACACTATAATTTAGCAATTCGCTTTGAATCATTAAGAAAATATGATAAAGCAATTCAATGTCTTGAAAAGAGCCTTAGCATTGCTAAAGCAATTGGTGAGAGAGAATGGGAAGAAACTATTTACCAAAAATTAGGACATGAATATCGATCATTAGAGAAATACAACAAGGCAATTGAGTGTCATGAAATGAGCCTTGGAATTTCTAGAGACATTAGGAACAGAAAAAAAGAACAAGATGCTTATGTGGACCTGGGAAATGTTCATTACTCGTTAGCAAATCAACAAAAGGCAATGGACTATTATGAAAAGGGACTTAGCATTGCTAAAAATATTGGTGACAAAAAAGGAGAAGGAATAATTTATGAAAACTTAGGATGTGTCTATTCCTCATTGTGTAATTACCACAAAGCAGAAGAATATTATGAAAAGAGCCTCGGAATTGCTCAAGAGATTGGCGACAAAAAAGGTGAAAGCAATATCTTGTCCATCTTAGGAATTATCTATCTATCAAAAGGAAAGTACCACAAAGCAGCCGAATGTCTTGGAAGGACTGATAAAATTGATATAGAGACTGGTGACCTGCTGAGAGATGAAATTCCGTATTATAATTTAGGAAATGCATATCAGTCATTATGGAAAACTGACAAGGCAATAGAGAATCATCAAAGAAGCCTTAGCATTGCTAAAGCGATTGGTGATAGACGGGGAGAAGGACTTGCTTATATACAATTAGCAAACGTCTATCATGTATCAGGAGAATACCACAACGCAATTGAATGCTATGAAAAGCGCCTTGACATTGCTAAAGAGCTTGGTGACCGACAGGGAGAAGCGGCTACTTATGGTAATTTAGGAAATGTCCATGGATCATTAGGAAAATACAATAAAGCCTTTGAATATCATGAAAAGAGCATTGGCATTGCTAAAGAGATTGGTGATCGATATCTAGAAGGAAGAACTTTTGCTAACTTAGGATCTGTGTACCAAACATTAGGGAAACATAACAAGGCGATTGAATGTCACGAAAAGGGTCTTGTGATTGCAAAAGAATTCGGTGATAAACAAGGAGAAGGAATAATTTATGGCAGATTAGGAAATGCCTATCAATCGTTAGGAAAATATGGTAGGGCTAATGATTATCTTCAAATGTCTCTTGGAATCGCTAAAGATACAGGCGATAAAGGAGGAGAAACTATTGCTTGTGGAAGCTTAGGAGAGTTTCATTTTTTAATAGGTGAAAATCACAGAGCAATTGAGTATTACGAAATGATGCTCAAAATCGCTAAAGAGATTGGTTCCAGACAAGCAGAGGGAACTGCTCTTCAAAGCCTAGGAGGCTGTTATTTGGCATCAGGAGAATGTCAAAAGGCAATTGACTATATTGAAAAGAGCCTTGACATTGCTAAAGAGATTGGTAATAGAGAAGGAGAAGGAATTTCTTATGGAAACCTAGGCAATGCCTATCAGTTTTTAAATGAACATCAAAAGGCAATTGAATGTTATGAACATCGCCTTGACATTTCTAGAGAGATTGGAGACAGAAAAAGAGAAGGGAATGCATATGCAAACCTTGGAAATGTTTACGAAAGTCTGGAAGAATATCACAAGGCAATCGAATGCTATGAAAAGAGCCTTAGTATTGCTAAAGAAATTGGAAACAGACAAGGAGAAGCTAGTGCTCATCATAATTTAGGCAAGTAGACTTATAATAATGTTCACGGGATGCCCTTCCCGCGCACTTTGAATTCATTGATATTTGTGGATTTTTAGTTGATCGAGCTAAATATTATCCGCATATTTCAATTTATTGAGACTGCAATTTCTCCTGTACTGAATGCAAGATCGATGTTTTAAGGTTATTACGTGCTATTGAATTGGTCGAGAACCGTGTTCTGCTAAACCAAACAAGCACAGATGACGCCAGTCAATATGACGAGCGCTCTGATTGGTCACAAATGTGTGGGGCTTTAGAGGAGCGTCTCAAAATACCTTACATATAATTCCCTCTCA